TATATATATATATATATATATATATAATTGTCATTGTTGTTAAACTTAATTAATCTCGTTATATTCTACTTCATGTTTTGTACTTCTACTTATCTTATGATATTGTATCATTCTTCGATTGTTTTTCGAATATCAATATATTGCAAAGGGCAGGAATGGGTTGAAATGAAACAACATTTAATATATTTGACAGTTTCTTGTTGAATCGACGATTAATACGCAAGTAATATCACAGACGCGAAAAGCGATCTATGCGATCGCCTTTCATTGCTTTTCCGTTTACATTTGCTCCCGGAATAACAATCCGACGGAAATCCAGGTATTATTAAGGTAGCTTGTTAGTAAAAATTAAATTACAGGTCCTAAATAGATATTTGCTATCTCGGTCCCACCTCGTCGATTGCTTCAAACTGTCCGTCGGTATTTGTTATTCAAAATACTATCAGGGCTCATATTTTTAAATCTATATCATACGAAATCTATAGCATACGAAAATTTATAATATATGTAATATATACTATATTATTTTCGTACGAGGTATTTTTCGAGAATAAGGCCCCATATTGAAGATTTCGTTGGACGACTAGGATTAGTGACACTCCACAGTGATACTTTATCTCTTCTCTCTTATTAGCTCTCAATAATGTCAATGCGATTTAAATGATAAATCAGTTGAGAACTGATCAGTTGAGAAGGAGAAGCGTTGAAAACGTATACGAAAAGTACGTTTTATTTGGAGCAATCGCAAACCACGTGATGTGTCACCGTCGTCCGTAACCCCTTACCACATATATCTTTCTATGCAAAAAATTATGCGGTGTGCAGAGAGAGAGAGGGGTGGGGGGAGGGGGAGAGAGAGGGAGGAGAGAGAGAGAGAGATGTCATAACCACAGTAAAATAATGAAGAAATTTTAGAGAAAGTTTGTGCTCTATATGACACGCGCTACGCGGTAAGAAGTTAATTAACATAAAAATATTTACGTTATTCGCCGAATCGTGTCTCGCAGTACGATCCGAAGAATCCGTTAAATTCCAGCATAAATACGCAAGGCTATCCCATCGCGAGGATCTCGTCAATCCCTTAACAGTACGTCGCTCATTACACAAATGTAATTACTGGTTTTCACGTACCACACTTTTGTCGCGGTGCAATACACTTAAGATTCTATACAGTATACGCTTAAGACTCTAACCGACGCCGGGAACATCTACTAACTGAGAACGGCCTAAATAGCTTACAACGCAGATGTATATACGTATAAATGAGTAAATCAAATTAATATCGTGACTGGATCGTACATTTCTCCTTTTCTCTCTCTAGTCTTCATGAAGATGATTTTTCCCGTTCTCTCTAAAGTAGTCATTTCCCTCGTTGCTCGTTTCACTATGATCATCATTCACGGTCACGTGTCGTTGCCGTTTCTTCCTCTCCTCGCTCACCCTCGGCCTAGTTGTACTTGTCGCGAGCCCTCACTGCAATCAGAGGTAAACGTCAGCGAGGAAGTTCGTGGATAGTGAATCCATTGAATCCACAGAGATCGTGCGCGATGTTGAAACATCGTGGATGTCGCAATAGCGACTGCTACTGCTGCTGTGGCAGATACTCACTTTCCATGTAAAGAATCCCGGCGAGCAGACCGACCATAAACAGAAAACTCATAGTGCACACGAGAACGGTGAGCTGATTTCGCGCGCACCAAGACTTCCTGTAGACGGTGGTCGGTCTGCCGAGACCGTTCACGACCGTGAAGTGGGTGCTGCTGGCCACCGAGGCAGTGTCCATCTGCTTTTGTGCCGTTACCGTAGGTGGATGTATGGCGGCGAGGTTCGCCAGATTCGCGGCCGTGAGTAGCAACGTTCCCGACGCGGCGCTCTGTAAATCGGTACCACCGGACAATTTGATTAGAATGTTGTAAGATACGAAAACTCTTTTTTTTTTTTTCCAAAGACTGTTCATACCTCGATTTATTACGTAACATAGAAAGATCTAGACTTATCGCTTTGATATCAGGACTGTCTCTGACAAAAGACCTCGCATTAATTATGTGAAAAATTAGGTCTCGGTAAATTAGTTTTTACGTATAATGTAGCTTGTAATATGATGAAGAAAAGATGTCATAGATACAAAACTCGATAGATAGGTTTTTAACTGTAGTGTAGCAAAAGTGCTCTGTGAGCACAAGTTTGGATATACCATAGTTCAAAAACTGTCCTTTATTTTGTGACATCTATTTTTTTTTACCACATTATAAACTACATTATATGAAAACTAACTCATTTCAGCGGTATCCAATTTTCTATATAATTAAGAGTTTATCATACGATTTTTTTTATGTGTAATTTAAATTATTCGCAAAATTTTGTCTCGACTTTGAAAGTGGGTTTTAGATAAAAAAGCTAACTTATATATATATATATATATGTGCGCGCGCGCGCGCGCGTGTGTGTGTGTGTGTGTGTGAATGGTTGCGTTAAGGAGATGAAATTTACGTGTGTACTGGCAGTGGATCCTTGAGACGACGTCGACCCTCTCGAGGGGGAGTTCGGATGCAAGTGATGAGCCCAGCTTCCATTTTCACTGTCCCTCTCGCTGCGTCCGACCAAGGACGGCCTTGGGATGTGCCAGGAAAGCGGGTTGGCGGCAGCTACCGCCGTCGTCTCGATCTGAAACCAACGTAAATCGACGTGAAGCTTCGATTGCATAAGCGATAATGCCATGCCGATTGCAGTTCTACTCTCTCGCCCGCATGTCCTCCACCTGCGACCGCGTGCCGTTTATCTGTCGCCAGAAAACATTACTCTACATATAGCTATGTGAGGTATCAGCCGATAAATGCATTAAACGCCCATTTAAATGGGCGGACTTTTAGACAATGATGAAATTTAACGAGCCATAAAGATCGTTTTATTACATTGACGATTAAATCCGTTTATATACTTTCCCACAAAAGAAGAATCGATGTATCGTGTGACGTAATTTTAAGTACCAAATCGGGATTGACTTCCTATTGGCTTTCAATTTCTACATTTTCCATGCAAATGTCTGATTTTTTTTTCTTCTCTTTTTTTACTTATTTATCCAATTTGTTTCACCTTGTCTCGCCTCTGAAAGGTCATCGTAATTGGTTTTTATTTTTAACATAGATGTTTTGACGCGTGCGGATGATCGTATCATTTTTATCTGTTGCATCGAGCAGCATCAGGATAGTGGGTTTCGCGAAAGCATCTTCTACTCCCACTCTTCCTTTCTGCGAGAGGAAGATTGACGAGAATTTCGGCGTCTCCTGGGGGCGTGGAGCACCTCGACATTCCGGTTTGATCGTTGCATAACGTTGCACTCTCGAATTCCGCGCACCGCCGTCGCTTCGCGCGTCAACTCCGTCGCCGTTGTTTTTGCATCATTTTCGTTCTTCGCGCAAAGAGACGAAAAGAAAT